AACTCAGAGCTTTCCCAAAGAGAGGCCTGGATTAAGAGACTGTGCAGTCCTAAACTGGAGGGGGGGGGAGAGAGGTTCATCACACATCCTAGAACAGGTATGTCAAACACGCGACATCACGTGACGTGTCACCACGTATCGTGACTTTTTCCCCATTGCCGGCAATGGGGTGGGCGCAGTTTCATCGTGACGCATCCAGCCCGTGGGCCGGCACTTTTGACATGCCTGCCTGGGAGCTTCTAGGGGCTCTCAAGATATATCTAGGACAGGGGTCCCCAGGGCCACGGACTCTTGGCCAGCAGGCTGTGGAAATGGCTGGCCGATGCGCACATTCGCCCCTTGCGCTAGCGCCCGTGGCCCCATTTGCGCATGCACGTGGGCGCAAAGGGAGATACTAGCGTGGGGTGGGTATCTACGGCCCATTTGCGCATGAGCCACTAGCCTGGGTGGGTTGCGTGACCCATTAGTGCATGCGCAAATGGGCTGCTAGCTGCCATGTGAGGTGCGTGGCCATGCGCATGGTACCAGCTGCATGCGCGAACAGGGCTGCGAGCCTAGAAAGGTTGGAGACCTCTGATCTAGGAGCTTAGAAGTTACAGCTTTAGTTTGGCAAGATTCTCTCAAGATATAGTTTGGCAAGATTTGATGTAAGCAAATAAAAGACTGGGCTTGATTGGATCTCATTGTCTCATTTCTGGGATTGAGCCTGACAGTGGCTTAGTTCAAAGCCCAGAGGAATCCAGCTGCCCTTGACCAACATTTTTTTATTTGCACACTCCATTGAGTCTGTCCTCCCCAAATCTCACCGAGGCAGAGTGCTTGCGATGATGTTTCTTTGGCTTCTTGGCGTGCTTCTTGGCCTTGGTATGGAAATGCTGGCACTCACTCTGGGGAAAAAGGACAACTTAATTACCTGGGCCCTTTGGAACACGGCCTCCCATTGCCATCGCCTTCTCTTCCCCTAAACTCTGCTGAAGACGTTACCTAGTCTGGTAACGAAACGTCTGGAAACCC